TTTTGGTTACTAAAGCCTTGTAGTATAGTTTGATACCAGGTAACATGATACCTCCAACTTCGTTCTTTCTCAAGATTGCTGTGGCTATTCAGAGTCCTTTGTGATTCCATATAAATTTTAGGATTTTTTGGTTCTAGTTCTGTGAAAAATGTCATTAGAATTTTGATAGGGATTGCATTGAATCCATAGATTGCTTTGAGTAGTATGGACATTTTAACAATGTTAATTTTTTTCTATCCATGAGTATGGTACTTGCTTCTATATATTTGTATCCAATTCAAAATTTTTTCTTCAATGCCTTGTAATTATCTAACTATAGGGTTTTGTTTTTTTTTTTACCTCCTTGGTTAAATTTATTTCTAGGTATTTTAAAATGTAACTGTAAATGTGATTGTTTCCTTAGTTTCTTTTTCTGATAGTTCATTATTGGTATATAAAATACAACTTATTTCTGATTATTAATTTTGTATCCTGCTACTTTACTGAGTTTATTTATCAGCTCTAATAGTTTTTTGGTAGGATCTTTAGGGTTTTCTATATGTAGTAACATGTCATCTGCAAATAGTGACAGTTTTATTTCTTCCTTTCCAATTTGGATGCCTTTTATTTATTTTTCTTATCCAATTGTTGTGGCTAGAACTTCTGATACTATGTTGAATAAAAGTGGTGAAAGTGGACAACACTGTCTTGTTCCTGATCTTAAGGAAGACACTTTTAGCTTTTCCCCATTGAGTATGATGTTAGTTATGGGTTTGTCATATATGGCCTTTATTATGTTGAGGTATACGCCCTTGATTTCCATTTTGCTGAGAGTTTTTGTCATAAATGGATGCCAGATTTTGTCAAACGCTTTTTCTGCATGTACTGATATGGTCTTATGATTTTTACCCTTCATTTTGTTTATGTGGCGTATTAAATTAATTGATTTGCAGATATTGAGCCAAACATTGTATCCCGGAAAAATCCCACTTGATCTTTTTATTGTATTGCTGAATTTGGTTTGCTGATATTTTATTGAGAATTTTTGCATCTATGTTCATCAGGGATATGGCTCTATAATTTTCTCCTTTTGTAATGTTTTTTGTCTGGTTTTAGAATCAGGATAATGGTGGCCTCATAAAATGAGCTTGGGAACCTTCCCTCCTTTTGAATTTTTTTGGGATAGTTTGAGAAAATCAGTTGTTAATTCTTCTTTGAATATTTGGTAACATTCATCATTGAAGCCATAGGTCTAGTACTTTTGTTTGTAGGGAGTATTTTTAATTACTGTTTTGATTTTGTTGGAAGTAATTGGTCTGTTCAGATTTCCTGTTTCTTTTTTATTCAGTCTTGGAAATTGTATGTTTTTAGGAATTTATCCAATTCTTCCAGGTTGTCCAACTTGTGGGCATATAATTGTTCATAATATTTTCTTATAATTCTTTTTTATTTCTATGATGTCTGCTGTCACTTTTCCTCCTTTATTTCTGATTTTATGTATTTGGGTCCTCTCTCTTTTTTCTTTATGAGTCTGGCTTAAGGTTTATAAATCTTGTTTATCTTTGCAAAGAGCCAGCTCTTGGTTTCATTTATCTTTATTATTGTTTTTTTAGACCCTATTTTGTTTATTTCTGATATGATCTTTATTATTTCCTTCCTTCTACTCACTTTGGGCTTTGTTTGTTGTTCTAGTTCCTGTAGGTATAAGAGTAGATTGCTTATTTGAGATTGCTTGCTTCTTGAGTTAGGTCTGTATTCCTATGAATTTCCATCTTAGGGCTGCTTTTGCTGCATTCCATGGATTTTGGGTTGTTGTGTTTCCATTTTTATTTGTCACCAGGTGTCTTTTGATTTCCTCCCTGATTTCACTGTTAACCCTTTATTGTTTAGTAACATGTTATTTAGCCTCCATGTATTTGTGTGTTTTTCAGTTTTTTTCTTTTAATTGATTTCTGATTTCTTACCATTGTGGTCAGAGAAGGTACTTGAAAGATTACAGTTTTCTTTTCTTTTTTAAAAAAATATATTTTATTGATTTTTTACAGAGAGGAAGTGAGAGGGATAGAGAGTTAGAAACATCGATGAGAGAGAAACATCGATCAGCTGCCTCCTGCACACTCCCTCCTGGGGATGTGCCCGCAACCAAGGTACATGCCCTTGACCGGAATCGAACCTGGGACCCTTTAGTCTGCAAACCAGTCAAGGCAGATTACAGTTTTCTTAAATTTACTGTGACTTATTTTTTTGCCTACCATGTGGCCTATCCTGGAAATTGTTTTATGTGCACTTGAGAGGACTGTATATTCTGCTGCTTTGGAGTGAAATGCTCTTGAAAACATAATTTCAATCAATTTGATCTAGTGTGTCATTTAAGGCCACTGTTTCTTTGTTGGTTCACCATATGGAAGACCTGTCCATTGATGTCAGTGGAGTGTTAAATTCCCCTACTATGACTGTATAACTGTCAATCTCTCCCTTTATGTCCGCACCGTTGAACCTCTTTGCCATCAGCCTAGATGTCCTCTTAATCCTCTCCCATATTATTACTGTTATTTAGTTACCAGCACAATAACCTTATTGCACATTTTTAAAATGTTGGAGGAGGAGCTGTCCAATGATCTCAAGGCATACGTTTTTGATTCTGATAAGATTATGGATACCGAAGAATAAAAATGGAATCACTACTGCCAAGATATGACAGAAAGCTTGCATAGTAAAATAGTTTAAACCTAACATTTGGACCCAATAAGGCAAATGGAACATTTTCCCACATTTTTGGAAAATGCACGTTTTCTTCACATTAAGTGGTACCAATAAGAAATAATGATTTAAAAATATTTGCTTTATATTTTTAGGTGCTCATGTATTGGGTGCATAATTGTTTACAAGGGTTATATCCTCTTATTGGATTGATCCATTTATCATTGTGTAATGACAATAACGTTTTAAAATTCCCTTCTTGTGAGAGAATTTCACATGTTGCATGCCCCAGCTGAAAGGTGACCCATCATGCTGGTCTGGTCAGTTGAACATGACACCTGTCAGAAGCCACCACGTGGCTCTGTGTCAGAATAGGAAGGATATCGCAAATTAAAGTCATAATTTTGTCAGAGGCAATTTTTTACTATGTTTTCATCTTTGTCCCACAGACATCTAAAATAAATAAGCCAGTCAGAGAAAGGCAAGTATCACATGATCTCACTCATATGTGGAATCTAATGAACTAAACTAAACTGATGAATAAAATAGATCCAGAGACATGGAAGCATGGAACAGACTGTAGAATCTCTGAGGGAAGGGAAGGCAGGAAGAGATTAACCAAAGAACTGATATGAACATATGCATAACCCATGGACATAGACTATAGTGCAGTAGGCCCGTGGGGGGTTGACAAGGATGGCTGGAGGTGGTCACTGGGGGGAAGAGGGACATCTGTAATACTTTCAACAATAAAGACACATTTTTTTGAAAGGCTTCTCCTCTTACAAAAATTAAGTAAAACAATAATTCTCTTGATAGTTTTAAAAAAAGTATTTACATAACAGGTATACACCTAGACATGTAAGGAGACACATTATTTATATTAGATATCTACTTTATTGAAAAAAGTTAGGTTTATTTAGAAAACGAGGTCTCTTTCTGTGTGTTACTCTGGCCAGATCAAGAACAGACCACGCAAGAGGTTCATCAGGGCAGATCAGCCGTACGTAAGTTCCTGGCCTACAACTTGAGACTCATTATTCTTAATAAATTTCAAGTTCTCATTTGAAAGCAATAAATACCTTTTTTCATGAAACAATTAAGAATGTTTCTTGTTAGTTTGCTAGCAGCTATTCCCCTAAAATGAACTTTCGGTGCCGCCATGGTGTGCGCGTCCACGCCCCGGCTCCGCACCTGCCACTGTGTGAGTAGCAAAGGGTCGCGGTCAGGAAGGCTGTTCATTAGGCTTTTCATCTCCTCCTTTTAAAAATTAGTCTGTAAAATTCGTTTTACAGGCTGATCTGTTTGCAACGCCCACACACGTGTGAGCTGCAGAGAGCCCCGGCTGGAGCAGGACATGCACCCAGGGCCAGCCTGTGGGCGCGGGAGCCTGTGCAGAACGGGAGCAGACGAGGGGCAGTTCAGACTTTGCTGGGGCGCCTGCCCTGAAGGAAGCGGAGGGACACTTGCGTTCTCAGCATGAGGCAGACGGTGATGTGCCACCCAAAGCCCGGCAGCAGGCTCTGGGGAGCGCTTCCTCCAGAGCCCTGAGCTGACCGGCTGGCTGGGCTGACTGCCCCAGGGTGTGGAAGGTGACCTCTCCCAGGAGATGGGAGCTCCCAGAAGCCATCTGGAGAGCATACGTGTAAATGTGCTCGAGTCAGGGATCCCGTAGGAAGAATTAGGCAGTGACCCAAGCGGGTGTGATCGGGCGACGTCCTTCAGCTCTCCTCCGGTGCCACAGCAGGGACGCTGGCCCATCGTGGGCACCGTCGTGGGCCACGTAGGCAGTACACACCGGCCCTGCCTGCGGCGCGGGCTCAATCACACGCCTGCACTGGGCTGTTTTGTAGGAACGCATCTCAGTTCGTTAGGTAGTAACTTTCTAAAACGGTAACAGCACCTGCATTGCATAACCGGAATGGAGTTAATTTACAAAACATTCACTTACACTTAACAGGAAAAAAGGACAATTAAAATGAAGCTTGGTGCTCTTCTGCTCAGTTGTTCGATCTCGGGCCTCTGTAACCGGGATGAGCAGACCCACGCCTGGGGCTCCACCTTGCCCCGTCACGGGCCGGCGTCGGGGGCAGGCGTCGGCACGGGCTGGCAGCTCACATCCTGACAGGCGGGTGTGGATGTGTCCTGGCCAGAACACAGCAGTGCCTGTGACGGGGTCAGAGAGGAGATGTGAACTGTGGGAGCTGCCGGGAGAATTCCCTGTGTTAACCTGGAGGACCGGGTGTGAGACCGGGTGGCGTGACTGTCAAGGCGCGGGCAGCATTAGCATCAGAAGAAAGAGGGCTCACTTTCTGTTGCAGGGTCCCTGGACACATCCAGCATGCCAGGAGGGACGGCGCCGGCGGCCCCGACGGGAGAAGCCCCCACCTACGTGAACGCCCCGCACTTCCCGCCGCAGGCCGGGCCGGCTGCGGGCAGCAGCGCCGAGAGCAGCCCGAGGAAGGACCTCTTTGACATGAGTGCGTTTCCATTCACCCCGCTTTTCTTTCCTTTTGAGGTTGCTTTCTACTCGTTGATTGGAAATCTGTGCGGTCACGGGATTTGCTGCTGGCTGGGTTTGCGGCACTTTTCTGGGTATGACTGGCTTCTCAAGGCTTTCAACTTCGGCCAACCTCTGCTTTGGGAGTCCATCCCTTTCTTATGTCCAGAGACAAAGCAATTTCCCCCTCCTTTTGGCATTGACTTAGCACTTGAAGAACTGCACATGTATTGAGACAAACAACATACATAAATAAATGCACTCACTTATGTATTCACTTAAATAGCCTTTGGCTATTGTGTACCAAGTATTGTCGCAGTTGCTAAGGATGCCAAAGGGTAACGGCACGGCCATGTCCTCACAGAGTTCTCCGTCTGTTGAGCAAGAAATTGCAGCAGACCCTTCTCATATGCAGGCACATGCTTGCCGTCCCTCTCATTTTCCTCTATTCTCCCTCTTTCTCTACCACTGCAAGTCTCCCCGCTACTCTATTCAACACCTAACATGTGTCAAATGCCATTCTACTCACTTGCCTATATACACAAAAACAAAATAGGCCACGCCTCTATTCCGTGGAGCTGAAATCAGCACTATGTATTAGCAGTTGGTAACAAGTGCACGGATCACACAGAAGACAGAGAGAGAGGCAGGAACCTACTCAGATAGCAGTGCAGTAGGGTGTGTGCCAAGGACTTTCTGTTTGTCATAAACATCGTGAACTTAAATCATCCATGAACCAATTAATGGAAGTGGAAGCCATTTTTAAGGAATTTTGAAAGAACTTCCTTAGCTCACAAGAGTTTTATATCCCGCCCTGGCTGGTTTGGCTCAGTGGATAGAGCGTCGGCCTGCGAACTGAAGGGTCCCAGGTTCGATTCCGATCAAGGGCATATGCCCAGGTTGTGGGCCCAGTGGGGGCCTTGCAGGAGGCAGCCGATCAATGATTCTCTCTCATCGTGGATGTTTCTATCTCTCCCTCTTCCTTCTTCCCAGAAATCAATAAAAATATATTTAAAAAAGAAGTTTTGTATCCCAAAATTTCTTTTTCAAATTCCTTGAGAATTTAAAGGCTAAAGAGGGGAGGAGATTAACATTTAACAACTTTCTACCACCAGCTATGCACTTATTATTTAATTTAATTTTGCAGTGATACTACAGGCAGGTATTATTACTACAGTCATGTGCCACAGAATGACACTTGGATCAACTACCGGCTGCATTTGTGATGGTGGCCCCACAAGACTACAATGCAGTTGAAAAATTCCAGTCACCTAGTGATGTCTTTGGTGTCCCATAGTGCAGCACATCACTTGTGTGTTTGTGGTGATGCAGTGGGTTGTAAACAAAGCTACGGCACTGCCAATTGTATGAAAGTACCAGCTGCATTGGGTGAGTGCCCTCTGATATTCATACAATGACAACATAGCCTCGTGACACATTTCTCAGACAGTATCTCCATCATTCCGTGACACATGACTGTATTATCATCACTATTGCTGTTATTATCCTTACTATACAGAGGAGAGAACAGAGAAACCTAGAGGTTAAGTGACTTTACCGCTGGTAAAAGGCAACCTTGCTGGCTTGACATCTGCTGTCCGTGATGTTGCATGTGATGAGGACAGGACTGAGTGCGTTTATGATTAGGCGGCACCATGGTAACAGAGGTCTAATTCTCCCCGCCACTTTGGTTCCACGGATCCTGGACTCCCATTCCAACTTACAAAGATGGCCAGAACCAGAAGAACTAGAATCTCAGTGCTTGCGGCGCCTTCACAGTCACCTAGCCCGATCCCTTCACTTTAGTAACGTGAGGTGTGAGGTGGCTTTCCCAAGATGCAGAGCCAAGTGGAGCCGCTGAGCCCCCGCCCCAGTGTTCACAGTGCTCACAACTGCACTTTAGTGGCTGTACTTGTTTAATGGAGTCAGTTCACCAGTGATTCCTGGCCCCAGGTCTGGGTAGTTAGATTGGCCTGGGGTTTGAGATGAGAACTATGAGAACCAGAGCCAACGTTTTCTCATCCATCTATTTCTACTCCTGCTCCCGGCAAAAACAAGAGAGGGCCCTGGAAGGCTAGTATCTATTGAAAAGTGTGAAAAAATAAAGGCAACACTCTGTTGTTTACTTTTAACCACTAGAGCTGAACAACAATGGCGATGATGGTGGTGATGGTGGTGGTGATGGTGATGATAAATAGTGATGAAAATAGTGGGATCATAGTGACGATGATGGTGATGATGATGGTAAATGGTGATGATAATGGGATAATGGTGATGATGGTGATGGTGGAGATGATGATAAATGGTGATGATGACAATAGGATAATGGTGGTGATGATGGTGATGGTGGTGGTGATGATGATATATGGTGATAACAGGATAATGGTGATGGTGGTGGTGGTGATGATGATGGTGTAGAAAGAGTATAATACAAATTTTCAACACTCCAGGTAATCAGGAAAAAGATAGGGTAAAAAAATAAAAATTTAATCAATAGTTTTAACTTCTTTTCCACTCCAAAAATATAAATGACTTAATGAGTGCCCAAATGACCTAATTTTGGTTTCATTTATTCACCTCACGCCTGGCCATCTTCTAAGTTGGCCTTATTTTACATCACTTGTTGAATGTTTGTGGAGCAGGAACCATGTCCCAGGAATAATGTTGGGCTTTGGGGTGTGTGGTGCTTGCATTGACTGGGTTGGCAATGTGGTCCCGCAGTCATTATAACACCAGACATTTGTGTAGCACTCCCCTCATTTTTCAGAGTGCGTTTGTCCAATTACTTATTGGAAAATCAAACCCTGAGATTAACCCAGGCGTGCCTGCTGACTTGCTTGCTGCTGCTATTTGTTGATGTTAGAGCAGAAGTCTTGCCATTGACGGATGCCCTGCAGTGAGAGGTTTGTTCTGAAGGGCCGAAGTCAGGCTCACTCTCAGACACTCACACAGAGCCTTTTCCCACAGGGACAAGCGAAGGTCAAGGGAAGGTAGGGCTCCTGGCCTGGGGCAAGTCACACAAAAGGCACCCAATTAACCTCAGTTTTATTTGCTTTTAAAAATTCACCCGGTACAAAGGTTTTGAAATAAACGCTTGATGGGTTGGGTTTAGGTCTCCCACAAAATAAAAATCTTGCAAATTGTCTTTTTCTTTGCGTATTTCCTTCGGTTTGGCAGGTATCTATTCAGAAGCAAACATGTTTGTTGGAGGCTAGCCAACGTTCCAGAGAAAGTAGACGGCATGTAATATGCGTGGCCTCCTGCGGCGTGCTAAGCTATAGGCATTCTAACCAGCGAGACCTGCGTGTGCTTGAACCCTTGGCACAAGGCACAGTGCCCAGCTGCCTCGGGAAAGCAGGCTTACCAGAGTCACACCAGGATTTGGGCTGTACTCTCAAATGCTTGTTATGACTCATCTCATTAGATTATCAGCTGTCATTTGTCTCTGGCTCTTTCTTCCGGTGGCGTTGCCTTTGCCTTCTCTGCCCTCACACTGTATTGTTTATCCTTTGCTCTTCCTGGGTCCACGTGTTGCTGGCAAACGCTGTTGGCAGAACCTTTTGAAGATGCTCTCAAGAACCAGCCCGCGGGGCCCGTGCTGAGCAAGGCGGCCTCCGTGGAGTGCATCAGCCCCGTCTCTCCCAGAGCCCCGGAGGCCAGGATGCTGGAGGAGCTGAGAGCCGAGCTGTGGTACCAAGGCCAGATGAGCAGGAAGGAGGCGGAGGGGCTGCTGAAGCGCGATGGGGACTTCCTGGTCAGGAGGAGCACCACCAGCCCGGGCTCCTTCGTCCTCACTGGCATGCACGACGGCCAGGCCAAGCACCTGCTGCTAGTGGACCCGGAAGGCACGGTGAGCACAGGGCGGCTGCTTTCCCTCCTCACCCACAGGCGCCTGCGGGAGCCCCGATGGCCACCCCCCGGGACCCCGAGCCAGGCCAGGGCCAGAGCTTTCCCGCCCGAGAGGTCATGCTCCTGACAGCCCTTCTGTGGTCTCACTACTATCCCATCATCCAGCCATACGTCTGACCCCACCCTGCACAGTGCAGGGACGGCTAAGTTTAATAAATGGAAGTACATGAGCTAACCATGGACTAAGCTCCAGGCTTGTTGTGTGAAAACAGAGAAGCAGGCGGAGTTAGCTGAGCAGTTACATTAAGCACGTTGCATGTTTTACTGGGAGGCAGGGACGAAGGCTTGGTCTTCAGCTGCATGCAGTGACCTCCTGGTTCATAGGTCAGTGCTCAACCACTGGGCCATGCTGGCCGGGCCTGGAATTACTTTTGAAGATGATTTAAGGGAGAGACCCAACATTTTAAACATCTCCATGTAGTGAGCCAATCTTTTGGTCACCGTTTGCCAAATAATTCACCTGTTCTCGGTGGTGCTGACGCTCTGCCTGTTAACACTGAGTCCCTGTGTCCTGGGCTGTTTCTGCACCATCAGCTCTGTCCTATTGAGTGCGCTGTTTAGTGTTTCTTGTATAAGAAACTGTGCTAGTCATTACGGCTTTGAAACTGTCCTAACCTCTGGTGGGGTGAGTCTTTCCTCTTGATTCTCCTGTTGGTAAGTTGCCTCACCTATTCTCACATCCTCATTCTTCTTTGTTCAGATTTTGGATTCACTTTATCAATGAGGGAGAGAGAGAGAGAGAGAGAGAGAGAGAGAGAGAGAGAGAGAGAGAGAGAGAGAGAGAGAGAGAGAATGAGAGAGAATATTCTGGGATTTGGTAAGATTTGCATTGAATTTATAGATTAATTTGGGGAGAGCTGACATTTTTCAATATTAAGTCATCACATCCGTGAGCATGGCATAAGGCTCCATTTACTTAGTTTTTAAGATGTCCTTGGTTAGAATTTTAAAATTCTCTTCAGAAAGCTCTTCTGTTTCCTGTTAGGTTGCTTTCTAGTGTCTAGTTTTAGTTCCTGTTGTGAGTGGTATGTAATTTTTGGTTACTTTTTCTCTATAGTTATTGCTGCAGGGAGAGGAATGTGGTTGCAATCGTTTTCCTGGAACTGCGTTGCAAACACGGACAGTTTTGTTGCTGCCTTCCAGTCCCTGTCCTCAGCGTTCTAATCCCACCTTGCTGGCTGGGGCATCTTTGAGCATTGGCCAGGAGAGGGCGCCCTCGTCTTGTTCCCGACCTAGAAAGGCAATGTTGGAGGTTTTGTTCCATTAAGGATGTAAGCTTTGAGTAGACTGCCCTTGTCAGTCTAAAGAATTTTCCTCCCCTCCCCTCCCTTCCCCTCCCCTCCCCTCCCGCCCGCCTGGTTCCTTCCTTTCTTCCTTCTGTTGTTCATTCACTAAGCAAATGTGTACCTAATGGCTACTAAATCCAGGCATTGTTTTTATCATCTGGGATATGTTCATAAATCAGTTAAAAGAACAAGCCTCTGCTCTATTGGAATTGGTGCATATTAATTACCTAATTACTTTTATCGTGTGTAGATATTGAACTTTATCAAATGCTTCGTCAGTGTCTTTTGAGATAATTCTGTGGTTTTTTTCTTAAGTCCATTATTGTGGGGTAGTACATAGGTAGATGTTTCTGATGTTATGTCTTGGCATGAACCCTCTTTGGTCTTGACATGGGAATTGTGAAATGCATTGCTGGATTTGGGCACCTAGTTTTTTTAGGGTTCTTCAGTCACTGCTCCTAAGTGAAGTGTCGTCATTGTGTTTGCTGCTGTCATTTGTGTGTGCTCATCTGGTTCGGGTGTCAAGATTATAGGGTTACATTCATCCCTTCCAATGAGCTAGATTTACTCCAAATAAGACAACCTTCCCTCACCATTTTATCTCAGATAGACTCCCCTGGATATTCCCTGATTTATTTGTTTCTCTCAAGCACTTACCACACACAAGCCCTCGTTTATTTGCTAGTTTGTTTATTTAAAGACTGTTTAATTCAACAGTCTCCTGTCTTTTCGTGCTGAGGCCATCATGTCCTCTGGCCGTCCATCTTCTCTTTTGTTTCAGACATCTCTTCCATTGGGGTTGGGGTAGGTGAGATGGGACAATACTTACACTCGCCTCACGTTTTGACTTATAATTCCTTTTCTCATGCCTTTCCTATAAAAATAGAATTATTTAATAATATAAAGTATCAGCTGTTTACCAATCTCTACTTTCTATCAAGGATTGCAAAGTTAAGCCAAATTAAAGAAATAAAAACACATAGGTACATTTTAGCATCTCCCTCACTTGATAATTAGCAAGGAACTTCCATCCTTCTCTCTGTAAAATGCCAATGGCCGGAGCTCATGAGTCTTTCCCGGGGGAGTGGGCACTCAGGTGCCCACAGCTTCCCTGCACATCTCCAGCGAAGAAACCCTGGTGGGTGCCTTTTCCTATGAATTTCCTTTTGGCCACATGGTCAGCTTTCCATCTTGTTTTCATTTCTATTGTCAGAAATAAGACTTTTCTGACTCTTGGGCAAACTTGGCGATGACTGGGGCTCCTCAGACCCTTGGAACTAGGAGAGGAAGGGGAGTAAAACCCAGAAGGAGCAGGGGCCAGGGGGCACACGAGTGTCCTCCTCACTCTGACATGGTGGCCACAGGCTGACAGGGAGATGTGGCCACAGGACCCCAGCTGTGCAGAGATCCAAGTCCAGTTTCACTCTTTGGAAGGGAATTGAGTGCTCATGTGCAGTAAGGCGTTGACTGGAGGAGTGTAAGCAATTGGTGTACAAGATCCCAAGCCTGACTCTTGGCTTAGCATTCTGGAGGCTGACATGGCCTGGCACAGTGGGCTTTGTGCCTACGGAAAGCCTGGATCTTGTCGAATTTCAAACGTGGGAGAGGCCGGGCAACATGGCTGTGGTGGTTGCGTCCCGCTGGGGTGGGCTGTGCTGAGCACAAGCCTTCGGGGTGAGGTCTCTATGGGTCCAGCCAGTGCTGAGAAAGGAGCCAAAGGGCAGCAGCTCTCAGCCTGTTCCCATAGAACCAGAGTTGTCATCCGGTAGCATCAGAATGAAGGCTTTGCCTGTTCCAGTGCAATCGTTTTGTCATTGATCAAATGTCCTGGTTAATACACAGTCTTTAAAGAGTATCTAACTGCCCACAGGGCAACTCCACTTAAACATTCCCTAGGCAACACAAGCCCACCCGTCTAAGTGGAAGGCAGCTTGCCGTCATCCCTCCTCCTCACCCACTTGCCCTCTGGATTCCTCCTACCACTGGCCCAGTCACCAAGCCTCAGCCTCAAGCACCTCCCCTCACACTGCCCATTCCACGACTGACCACACCCCTCAATATCTGTGAAAACACCCCCTTTCCCACCCACCTGAACTGTCAGTATCTAATCAAATGACCATAGCAGCTAGCGGTAGATTCGAACCCAAGACGCACGGTTTCTTGGCCAGTGGTGTTTCCCACCCGCAGCAGCACCTTCTGGTTCTGTTCTGTGTGCACAGCCCCTGAGACACAGAGGTGGTCACCGAGGAGCCTGGATGAATACATTTTGAGAAATTAATTTCCACTGAATTTCGGAAGGTGTATAAGAACAGACAGGCAGAAAAGGAGAACTAACCCAGAAGGGTGTCCACCTCCCCCATGTCACTTCGGATTTCTGGAGGTTGTGGCAGAGAACAGACAAAGGGATTGTCAAAGCCTCACTGCGACTGAGAAATCAGAACACGCTCTGTGTTTGTTACTTTACTTTCCACCGCCTTTGAGCTGTTTCTCAGGCTCCCAGCTACTCTTGCTCCCTAATGAGACCAGCCCCTCTGGAAGCCGGGAGCAGCATTCCTTCCCACCTTTGGAATCTTATTTTTTTTCTACTTCCAGACTCTGTGTGAAATGATTAAAAATACTGTCAGCAACTCAAAGATACCTTACAGAGAAGCCTTATCAAGCTGGCCTCTGGGTTTATTCCTGGCTGCTGACCCTGAGGCCTATCAGTTTTCATGCTGTGATCAGCGTGGGCACCTGAGCCCCATGCACCTCAGTCTCCGGACACCTGAGCCCGGGGCACCTGAGCCCCTTCTCTTGCTGCAATGTGATCAGATGAAGAAAGCCAGTGCCTGCCCTCCCTCCTGCAGAGATCAAGGCCAGGAGGAGCCAAGTCCGCAAGCCATCATGTGCCTTGGAAAACCCTTGAGGCCACAGATGACCTTGGCCAGGCCAGAAGCAGGCTGTGAGTGGAGGGGTGAGTGGAGGGAGCGCTCCCTGTTGTGTGGCTCAGGTCTGAGTAGGCAGTGGGGCAGGAGAGACCCTCCCTACACTGAAGACTCCCTGGCATCCCCTTTCAGGCTTCCGGAACTCAGCGGGGAGGTCAAGGTGCTTGAGCAATGGCTGTCTTCAGCTAGGAACGAGGATTCTGCTGGGGCTTGGGGTGGGGGCAGAGGCCCCTGCTGAGGACGGGACCCAGGTCTGCCCAGATTGCTAGATGACCTCCTGATCCCCATCATTGGCATTGTGCCTCCATTCTGTACAAATTTGTTCAATAGAAATTACACTGCCAGGTTGGTCAAGGTCACCTGTGGTCTTGGGTAAGTCATGTGACCTGTTGCCTTGCCATCAAGTGAAGATGGTCTTCCAGGCCCCTTCTCACAGCCCCTGGAACAAGACGGGGCCCTGGTGTGCTCTGGACCTGCCTCTTTCTGCCTCGTTCCTGGATGTGCATTTTGGTGCTTTAGTCACAGGATTGTTCATGGCTAAAAAGAAAATGTTTGGGGAGGGCAACACCATGCTGTTGTGTTCTGCTGGCCACCAGAGGGCGCCGGAGGCACACACTTCCACCCTAGCCAGGGGAGGGCATCCAGCCACTGCTTTCACCACTCTGCTTCTCTTCAGTTTCCTCTGTGTTCAGATTTTTGAAAAGGTATCAGGTTGCTTTGCCAGATGAATG